CCCAAAGCCTGGGCTATGAATTTATTAAGAGAAATTAAGTTCATCATGGGCATGCACATTATTCATCACAGGGATAGGAAGTAGAAATGTGCACTATGAGTCTTTCCATGGTTTCGTTTGACCACATGGAACTTAGATAACTAAGTTGAGTATCCACTATGAATTCTTCAATTAATGGGCTATAGGCCCATCCCCCTCGACGAATCTAGGACCAAGGATCTGCTAGGTTCCTTTTCGACTTCACATACTCTAAAGAGATCACTTCATTCTTTATTAAGTGTCTAACTGATTCATGTCTTATGTGAATGTGTCTCTTCTTACCATTGTAAGCTTGGTTCTTAGCCACACATATTGCAGCATGTGAATCACACAACAAAGAAATCGGAGGGGTCGGTCTTCCCCACAATGGAATATCTACTAACAAGCTTCTGAGCCACTCGACTTCTTGCCCAGCTAGGTCAAGAGCAATAAACTCTGACTCCATGGTAGAACGAGCAATACAAGTCTGCTTTGATGATTTCCACGAGATTACTGCTCCACCTAAAGTAAAAACATACCTACTCGTAGAACTTACCTCATCATTTTTAGAAACCCAATTGGCATCACAATATCCTTCTAGTACCGCAGGATAACCAAGAAACTCAAGTTTCCAATCCAAAGTACCCTTAAGATACTTAAGTAAGCATCTAAGAGCAATCCAATGTTTACCACTAGGATTATGAGTATATTTACTCAGTCTACTCACAACATAAGCAATATCAGGCCGAGTATAGTTCATTAAGAACATTAAGCTTCCGATTAATTTAGTATATTCTGTTTGGGAAACGTTACTTCCTCTATTTTTAAAGAGATATATGCTAGGGTCACAAGGGTTCGAACAGGGATGACATCAAAATTGTCAAATTTATTTAACATTTTCTCAAGATAGTATGCTTGACCTAAAGAAAATCCCTTTTCAGTTTTGGTAATTTTGACTCTTAAGATTATATTGACTTCTCCCAAATCCGTTATCTCAAATTTAGTGGACAAGAAACTATTTGTTTTGTTAATGAACTCAATATTAGAACTGAAAATCAATATGTCATCAACATACAAAACTTATGATGATGCAATCAGTACCAAACATCCTCGAATACATACAATCATCCGAACCATTCACAACAAAACTAAAACTAGGTATAGTTTTATGAAATTTCTTGTACCATTGTTCCCATATAGATCTCCTCATCTAGATCTCCATTCAGAAATGCATTCTTAACATCCATTTGATGTACTTGTAACTTATGAATAGAGGCTAGTGCAAATAATGCACGGATCGTTGAGATGTTTATAACGGGAGAGTAAAAATCAAAGTAGTCTAAAACAAACTTTTGAGTGAACCCTTTGACAACTAGCTTTGCCTTGTACCACTGGATCAAACCATCTAGTCTCATTTTCTTCCGGAAGATTCATTTGCTACAGATTGGTTTAAATCATTTAGGCAAGTCAACTAATTCTCAAGTATGATTAGACATTACTGATTCTAGTTAATCATTAATAGCGCTTTTCATGAACTAGTATCGATAGATCTTATAGCCTTTTTAGGATCCTCATATAATATTTAAGTTATATGACCAGAAAAATAGTATAAATCATTTATCTCACAAATAAAGGAAGTGATAAAATTTGGTCCAAATAGCCTTTTACTTCTTCTAGGCTCGAAATCAATTTCTTGAGAAGATCTAGCAGGAATACTAGAAGAAGTGGATAAAATATTTCTACTTGAGTTTCTGTATTTAATCTACATTTTAAGACACCCCACATTTCTATCATTTTAGGATATCCATAAGTGTCTTGGCCAATGTGTAAACAAATACTCAATCATACTAGAGTAAATTTGTTATGAGTTTTACCCATAAAACTATATTTTAACAGACTCAAGTTTTGTTTACACATAATTATATTCTCAAAGTTTTGATAAGCTACAAATCATTAAGATTAAAATGAATAAAACATTATGAAATAAATAATCTCTTTTCTTTCCTCTACTTAGGAAAATCACTTCAAGATATTTAATAGCTACAACACACTTTTAGTAGCAATAGATTCTATCATATTCTCATTCATGATATTCAACATATTAGCCTTAAAGAGATCATCATATATTTTATTTACTATGACTAAATTTGGTATTTCACTCAACCAAATTAATCTCCACTCTTTTAACTTCTGCACTAAGTTTTAATAGTTTTTATCTTGTCATAGTATTGAAATAGTGAGCATAGTAATGAACAATGCACCATGTAGGTTTCTATGAAAGAAAGGTGGTGCACTAGGCATGCTTAAGTACCAAGTCTTCACAGAACCAATCCTAGACATGCACTTTCATACTCATCACACTACTTTCCAATAAATTATTTATAGATTTTCTCTTTCTTAAGACTTCTTAAAGAATTATGCTTGATACTTTTAATCACAATAGTATCTTATTAAGCATATATATTTCGGGCTTGCACTACTACCTTATCCTTAGTAGTACTACCTTAATCTTTACTAGTGGTTTTATCTCATTTCATAATATCCACTAAGTTTTAAAGACTATCTTAAAGGCTTATGCAATCTAATTCATGTATTTAAAAAACATGAATTAACAGATAACAAGTCTAAATAATCTGACCTTGCAGGTAGAGTCATAATTTCCAAATAGACTTATTCATCCTCACCATGCATACTACTTCAGCCTTTGCGTCATCATTTTTAATCAACATGATCCCAAAATCCATCGTGACAATCTCTTCATCTGAACCATCATCTCTTTTGAATCTTCTGAAGCCAAATGAAGAATATACATGGTTAGTCACGAAATTAATTTACTAACAATAATTTGATAGTGACAAGATCCTTATCTTTAGGATTTTGGTTTCTTATATTCAAGAGATTGTGAAAATCAAATCGAATTTAACAACTATTCAGTTGAATAATATTCTCGTTCAAGATCATCATCTTCATGATTCTCCAAAATTGCAACTGTTTTGTTGTCTTTATAAATTTCTCAAAAGAAATTATTAGTACGACAAGAGAGTTGACATTTATTCAACTTACTATTTTATTTTCAACTTACTATTCAAAACTGAATAATCTTACCCCACATGAAAATAAATAGTTACTCATCTTCACATGAACCAAATATCATACATGCATTATCTCTCATACCAAAATATAAATGTTCATAACATTATAGTCATGTCACATTTGATTATAGCATGCAAGTTTCAAAATTGAACGTTTAACAAACACTAACATTTATATAGCTATTTACAAATATTTATATAGCTATTTAATAAATCGTTCAACCTACTACTGAAACTTGAAACATTTAGATCATATAATGGCTATAATCAACATTCATGTATAAAATTAAATGTCATGAAACTACCAACAGTAAATGTTTCACGTAAATGTCATGTAAACTTTTAATACATAACTTTATTGTATTTAAATTGAATTAATCATGCATAACCTTAATTCTGTTTAAATGTTTCTATGCATTAATCATTTAATGTTATAATACACAAAATTTTATAACATTTCTTAATGCACATTAATTTAAACGTTTCTCTCATCATTTTATTACAATAAAGCATAAAACAAATCAATGTTCTTCATGTCGTTTTCAATTCATGCATTATTCCACATTGAAAGCCCATAAATGTAAGAATTATAATCATTTCTAAATGTTTGATTAATTTTTGTAACATCATAATTAGTGGTCAATTAGTGCTCTAAAAAGTGTTACAATAATGCTTGATGAAGTCATCTTCCACCTTTAAGCAATGATATCAATGCTTATAAAACATTAAAGTTCTTAGTGCTCTAAAAAGTGTTACAATAATGCTTGTAACACAATTCTAAAGCTACCATATAATAATAAAAATTCTATTCACCATTGAATTCTTTCCATTCTAAAACAGTCAGTTAACAAAACTATATTTAACTTTCCACTATTAATGCTTGCCAACTAATTAAAGCATTTATAAACATAAAACATTTACATTGAAGTTCTTATAGTGGCAATTATTGACTGTTAATAAGCCATTTCATCGTATTAAATGTAAATAAACATTTAGACTTGTCAAAGCAAACCAATTCTTAGTTGCATGGCTGTATTTTACCACGAGAATAATATTTTGTATCAAAATATTACGTACCACTTTGATGCAAGGTTGAATCAACATTTGAATTCAGACTTACACATTAGAATTCAACATGTGGTTTCATCGTTTCTTTTACAAATATCTTGCAGCAGTTTGAATTTGCTTCTAAATTGTTGGTAAAATAGACTGCTGCGAAGCAAGGCGTTAGCACTGACTGGAAAATATTAAATAAAATAATCAATCATAATTATAACTGTGTCGTGGTAATCCACTGCCTTAGAAGCAAATTCGTCATGATGTGTGTAATCGCTACAATGGACGAACAACCCCCTGAGGTTAACACGACTCTCCAAGAATTCGTACACCCGAAAATTTGAGTGAACTTGGTGGTATTGCTCTTCTCTCAACTCAAACAACACTCAAAAGAGAGGAGTGTTTCAAAGCAAATGTTTGCTTGAGATATTTTATAGTGAATGAAATTGCTCACTATTTATAGGCTAAAATAGTGAGGGCAAAATCAGCATTTCTAATACTAGTGGGTAACCTAATTTGATCATATTTCTAATACTAGTGGGATAACCTAATATGTGCATTATCAACACTACCTTAATCGCCATCCATGTCTTCTTACCCACTTTACTGTGCATGGAATGAATAACTTCTTGTGCAAGAATAATATTATCAGTTATATTATACAAAACTCGACTGATTCTGAAAAAACCAATTAGGCAGATACTGTTTAAGTCGATTAACAAGCAGTTTTGTAATAATTTTGTAAGGCACGGTAAATAGGCTAATCGGTCGAAATTGACTTATAACCTCCGGGTTTTCCACCTTAGGAATCAGCACCAGCAACGTTTTATTCATCTAGTCAATCAATGATCCGTTTTCAAAAGAGTCAATAACAGCCTTACCAAGGGACGTTCCCACCACACTCCATTTTTTCTGAAAGAAAGCTACTTGATAAGCATCTATGCCTGAGCCCTTCAAAGGATGCATCATAAATAAAGTCGGCCGCACTTCCTCCATATTAACCGGTCTAATCAAACAACGAAGTTGAGACTCCCTCAAGCTGCTTGAATCTACCCATAAAATCGAGCCCAGTGCTCCGGCGATTCTCAAAAGTAAAGAGTTTCCGAAAGAACCCAACTGCACTCTCTTGGAGTCTATCCGAATCTTTGCACCAACCCCATCTTCCAAACGCAACATGCAAATGGCATTCCGTTTCTTTCGGTTTATGGTGAAGGCGTGGAAATTACGCATATTTCGGTCACCATGCGTAATCCACTGGCATCTTGGTACCATAAAGACTCCTGTTGAAAAACCGTAGCTAACTCATTTTTAAGAGAACATTCCGAATCCATTAGAAATGGAGAATCCGACCGTTCAAGAGCTTGTTCGACACCACGTATGCGAGCAAGAAGGAGCGTTTTGCGTCTTCCGATAAGTCCAAAAACTTCTTTATTCCACTTCCTCACCTTATCTTGAAACTCCTTAAGATTCTCTTCCAACACCACCTCATTATTCCATGTGTTGAGTAAGAATCTCTCAAAATCAGAGTGTTCATTCCATGCAATAACGAATTGAAAAGGTCGATTCCTAACATTTGGATATAGCAAAACGGTTCTAAGAAGGATGAGTCGATGGTCGGAACCCAATTTCTGTAAACGGATAATTTCAGAGGAAGGAAAAGAATTTTACCAATGCTGATTACACAAGCAATAATCCAATCTTTGCATGAGATCCCCACGATGCCAAGTGAACCGAGGACCATTAAAACCCATGTCTAACAGACTAGTCTCAAAAAGAAAATTCGAAAACTTCGAACATATCGCTGATCTCCTTTTCGAACCACCCTGACGTTCATCGACACTAGAGATGGCATTGAAGTCTCCCCCAAGCACCCAAAGGCTGTTCGATTCCGGTTCTAAAGCTCTCAACTGGTTCCAGACTGAACGACGAACGTAGTTATTGGGACTAGCATAAACAAAAGTGATGAAAAAACTTTTGCATGCCGACATTAACACAGTGGCCATGGATAAATTGATTAGAAAGCGCAAGAATGTCCAACAAGACCGGGTCCTTCCATAATAACCAAATCCCTCCTAAAAATCCATTAGCTTTGATACGGAAAGAATATTCATACCCAGACTTCCTAACAAACTCATCAGCTCGACTTCTACTAACTCGAGGTTCCATCAAAGCAATTATATCAGGTTCTTGAGATCTGTTTAACATCTTGAAATAACTGTTGAAAAGAAGGTCAAGAGTGCCTTGAGTATTCCAGAACATTACTTTGAGCATAAAATCAAATAAATACAGAGACAAGAGCACCTTACAAGTTACCTACACCATCACCGGACCCTTCAAAGGTCGTATTGACATGCCACTGAATTGAAGATTGTCCCTCCTGTTGCATTCTTTGTGATTCCTGCACATTTTGGTTCAAACTCGTACTGGCTTGGTTTAACTCATTCATCATGTTGTTAATCCACTCGGTCAGTATAGGTTTACTCGACAATTTATCATCTTTCTTCTTAACTTTTGTGCCCTTCTTACTAATTCCTTTAACTGTCGTGGGGGTTCGAGCAATAATTTTCGGACCCGATCTAAGAGTAACACGAAAGCGGGCCTACCGTAGTATGTTTGCCTAAATCCAATGTAGAAGGGACCATTATAATTCTGTCCTTTGCCGCAACCATCGAAGCATCACTATTGTTAGCCAATTTAGCACCATTTGACACTTGTACCATAGTTTACTTTCCAATCTGTATAGCACTGGGTTGCGTCAACACCGTCACCGTTTTATTTGTTGATTGAAGCTTTTCCAAACTAGTAGTCGTAGAGTAAACCACAACCTTGTTTATATTTCGAAGGGGGTTCCGGGTTGTCGAGATCACCAATACTGTTATCGGGTATAGGTGGGACAGGAACCTGCACATCTTTTCCTTTTGAGCCACTCGAGGAATCCAAAGAGTGCTTTGTGATGACCACCCCGGTGGTCCTGTCACATTCAACCTCTCGGTAGTGCTACTTGTTGCTTGGAGGTTAACCTGCCCAGCCTGCTCTTCATCCTCTAACGTAGCCAATGCTCCAAGAAGGATCCACCACCACTGGTGTGGTTTCTATCCATTCCCACCGCAATATAACTTTTCTTTCCAGTACTAAGATTCCTCCTCCGATTTTTCACCTGCATCCACGGACCATATGTCCGGAGTCAAAGATCCCTCAGCTTCTTTAGTTTTAACATTACCATCCAAGCAATCTTCCACCCCACATGAATCTTTCTCATGGCCATACATACAGCACTTAAAACATATAGTAGGGAAACCTCCATACTCCACAGATTGGTATCGTCCATCAATTCTTAACCCTGGGATTAAAGGCTTGTTAAGGTTAACAACAATAGCGAGTCTAGCAAATCTTCCTCGCTTGTATTATAATATATTTTGACAATCTTACCTAGCGCACCAGCAATATCCCTCAAGAGGCTCTTAGTGTAATACTTGTAAGGCAGCCCAGGTAGCCTCACCCAAGCCAGAACCGTGTTAGGATGATCCTCAGATGTGGAGAAGTTTCTCGACCACGGTTGAACCGTAAGATAACTACCATACACCATACAGGGTCCACTGGAGAGAACGTTAAGATAGTCGTTCTTTAGAGCAAAACGAGCAAGAAAATAATCATTATCCAAATCCACTAATTGTAATTCCCCAGTAGGTCTCCATAGGATTTGGATGAGATTCAAAAGAGCATTATATCCAATTTTCTTCCCCAGGAGCCGGATAATAACTGATTTGGAGAGTTTCTCATCTATGGAATCATGGATCCTTTCAGAAAAATAAGATTTGGAATAGAGCCATCCATACCTATTTGGATGTCACCCTCTAGCAAGTCAACGTCAAGATCCTTTATATAATTCAGTCTTTTGCATTCTCGTATGTCCAGCCACCGTGTCCCTAAAGGATAGCTTGAGGGGTTGCTCGACAGGTTTCTCTACCGTCCTCACTTCCCGACGCTCCGACACCTGAGACGAGGCCTCCTCCGATTTATCATCCATTATTGTGTCGCTTCCATCAACCTCCATACCATTCACTCCACCATCAGCCGTCGCAATCAGACATCCCTCATTCCTCGACTTTTCCCCAACGGTGTATCTTCACTTAAAGCTTCCTGCGCGGGTCGTTCTAGACTTACCGTCGAAACGCTCCGGACTGCTCCATCCAGTGGACAGCCAATCGGGATGACAGTAAGGGCGGCAGAAGGGTTTCCTGAAATTTCGGAGGTTTCCATAGGGGTTTAAAATTTTGTTTCTTATGTAATGTTCTGATTCATTTATAATAATAAAAGTTTTAATGATACAGAAGCAGATCCGATATGTTTTAAGTTGGGTTAGGCAAGAGAAAGAGAAAGACGGGCTATGATGGAGATGGAATATAATGGGCTCATTGTCTCTACTTCATCTCTATTACAATTCTGTCGACTGATTTCTCGGGCCCACCAATTTCTTGCTTCTTTCCGAAATTTACGAAACTATCCTGCTATCACACGTAGCATCGTTCGATATCAGAACACCTGCCCTGATTCAAATAACGAACACGTGGTGATAATAGATTGTTAAAGCTCTGGAATCCGAGATTCAAAATGATCATCTATTACTTAAGGGAAAACGAGTGTTAGAGATGGGCTCCTAATTCTAATTGATTGTATATGGCACAAAAATGACACTCCGAGATATTGGCTTCACTTCTGGAGTCTTGATTGCCATCCTCACCGACTTGATAGATTGTTTGTGTTATTATTAGGGTCCCTAGTGAAATGCCATGTTGCTATGTGTTTACTGAATATTCTTAAAAAAAAAGTAAAGTGGAACGATAATTCATGCCTGCACAAAGTCATTGGTTTTTACTTCCAACCTTTTTTTTTTTGACACACTAATAGCTCAATTAGTTGACTTATGTGTTACCGTGGATACTGGCCAACACCCATATGTTGTTCAGGGGAAATTTTATTTCGTACTGGTTTTTTTTTTTGACACACTTCAAATGAATTATTTTAATACATTAGAATAGAAAATGATGATCTCTTACATTCTTTCTTCCTATATTTCCTTCCTATTCAGTAAACTCAATTTTTTTATTCTTCTCTTTTCATCCATGTTTGAACATCTTTTTATATTTATGTCTTATTATAAAAATTTCTTCAAAGTTAAGATGTGAACTTTAATGTGATGTACTACTATTAAAAATGTATTACTATTGTTGTTTTAATAATGATGTAATTTTAATTGTTTACTTTGATAATATATTTTTAATACATTATCAAGTTTATATCAATTAAACCCACATATAATATTAATTATAAGTTGAAATTTAATTTTAAAAATGCTAATAAATAAAGTATCATGAATACTTCAAACCTAAAATTGTGTTTTTATAACACAATCAACATAAATTATTATATTATCTACAAATTTAATTTGGTGTACTTATAGAAATAAAACATTTAATTTTAAAATTTTATAAAATACAATTTTATAAAAATAACTTAAAAAAATTTAAAAGGTGAATAACAAGAAAAATATAAAAATATATATATTTTTACAAAAAAAAACATATTTCGTAAATTATTTTCATAAAAATTAATCAAACAACGTAAAACATTTTACAATGCAGCATCCAAATAATATAAAATATTTTCTAAAAATGTAAATTATTTTTCAAAATTTATTTTTCATAAATTATTTTCAGTGAAACAAATAAATTCTTAATTTAGTTTGTTAAGAGAGGACAAAAACGTCAATTGCAAATTGAAAAAGGAAAAAGGAAACGACTCCGAGATCAGAACAGACCCCGAAACGGAGTATTTCATTCGTTTCCTAGCAACAAGTTTTAGGGTTTTTGAATTCGATCCCCTTTGACAAATGGCGGCGATTTGCAGTCTTTACATAATCAACAAATCAGGAGGTTTGATCTTCTACAAGGTATCGTTTCTTTCCAACATTTTCTGTTTGTTACTCGAGAGCGTTTGGTAAAGTTTTTCTTTCTTCTTCTTTTCAAGGATTATGGATCGATGGTACGCATGGACACGAATGATAGCTTGAGGGTGGCTAGTTTATGGCATTCGATGCACGCGATCTCACAGCAGCTATCGCCTACCACTGGTTGTACGGGAATTGAGCTACTTGAGGCCGATACATTTGATCTCCATTGTTTTCAATCTCTTACTGGTAAGTGTCTTTTTGAAATATCAATTATATTATCTTTATTAATGGAAAATTTTGAAGCGCCAAAGTAGAATTGGAAGAAACTGATCTGCAGATCTGATTCTTCCACTCGGTTGACTGAAAGTTGTAGACTAGAATTGTGCGGTTATTGTTAAAATGCTCCGAGATTCGATAAAGGAAATTATTATTGCTCTTTTCCCTCTAAAATATGGATATTGGTGGTTTTGTATCATGTAAGATGATGAATTGAAAATGAAAATTTGTGGCAAATTTACTTGAATATACAAAATATAGAAAGCTTGACTAATATGTATCAAGCGCAGTTGGCAAAGCTTGCTTTCCACTTTCTTGAAGCTTGAAACCATAGTACTAGAACTGTTGCCAGTGAAATACTCTGTAATTTAATTCTATATTGCTTTAACTTGAAGATGGGATGTTAAGATCGGATTATCTATTTCCTGATTGTGCCATTAGGGACAGATTAAGTCTTACCAATTAGAAGGAAAAACCTGTTATATCCGGTTGTGCCATTAATGATAAGTTCAACCCTTGAGACTGTATTATCGTAAAAATCACCATACCTGAAGGGTTGTTTACTCATTACCCCTTGTTAGTCTCGTGGCAATTTATGCAGGATGATTTTCTTGTTGTTGCATATAACACGGGTTGGCATTTTACGAACATGGTTTGGTTGGGAGTTAGTGTCATGTGCATGTTTTCTGAAACCATGATTTTGTAGACAACTAAACATTATGTTCTCTATAGTGTTGATTTTGGAAACATGTATGTTATGATTTACAGGGACAAAGTTCTTTGTGGTTTGTGAACCTGGGACACAGAACATGGAGGCTCTCTTGAAAGTTGTCTATGAGCTCTACACAGATTATGTTTTGAAGAATCCCTTCTATGAGATGGAGATGCCTATACGATGCGAACTCTTTGACATCAACCTTACACAGGCAATACAAAAGGATCGCGTTGCGCTTTTGGGACGGTAAACTGTCCTGGAACTTTCAACTCACCATCTCTTATTTTCATCCCCACAATCTCGGTGGAAGATTTAATGTCAAGTTTGAATTGGCCTTTTTAGTGAGATATCGTCAGACTCCCTTGCTTGGCTAAATTTCTGTACCATATACAAACATATGATGTTTTGGGTAGCTGATTTTTCGATTTAACAGTTATAAATTTAATGAAAAATCCTGTTACAGGCTTGTTCTCCAGTTATTCATTCATTATTGTCTACAATCTTTATTTAAAAAAGTTACAGCAGGAGATATATCTTACAAATGTTCATAGTGAATCATTTTGTTATCACTTTATTGGAGGTGAAAACAGAGTTGTTTTCTTATGTTGTCGGATTCCGATAATGGCTTAGCAAGAAAGATATGGTCTTATTAAATATCTTTAAAAATATGTTTATCTCAAAATATCATATGGACTACACTGAAGATTCTGACACTGTTTCAAATGAGCTTTAGTTACATTGGCATACAAAGATCATATGCTAAGCTCAATATCATTTTCATACAAACATTAAATGTATCCTTCATTTTTTTTTTCTCACTCATTATGGTATGATACATAGCTAATCCCAGACCATATTCATGCATGCTCTTAAACCCGAGCTTGATGAATTTCAGAGCTAGATTTAAAAAGTTTAACCCAAAAGAACTGTACACAACTCTGTTGTTGTTTCCTGCCTAAATCCCAGAAACAATTCAAATGGATGTTCAAATCAGAAAGCAAAATGCAGCTGCAACACAAGGTTTTCATCTAAACATAAAGCGGTGACGCAGAAGGCTTCGGTTAAGTGGTTGGTTTACCACTGGAGTGGTTGATACCATTTCTGCGGCGCTCTTTCTGGTTTCTTTTTGGCATCTCACGCAGCTCCTGAAGCTTCTCGAGTGCCGTTACCACTTCATCCATGCTTGGCCTGCACTTGGGTTCTACAGCCAAGCACTGGAGTGCAAGGTTAGCGACTTCTTGCGCCTGATTCAGTGAATACTGACCTTGGAGACGAGTGTCTATTACACGGAATATCCTCCGTTTGTTGATCATGTAAGGTTTCGCCCAATCCACCAGATTGTGCTCTCCAGATGGCCTGTTATTGTCTATAGCTCGTCGACCCGATAACATTTCTAGTAGAACAACTCCAAAGCTGTATATGTCACTCTTGGCAGTCAAATGACCTTTCCAATATAAAAATTCAAATTGATATCAATACTCACAATTCATCAACTTCATTTCATATGATCCAATACAAAGAGCTAAATGCAGTGGGACTGAACCAAATATTTACAGAAAAGAGAGATAGGAGAATTACCTGTGGCTAGATACTCTGGAGCAGCATATCCATAGGTTCCCATGACCCTAGTGGAAACATGGCTTTTGTCACCAGTTGGTCCGTCCCTAGCTAACCCGAAATCGGAGAGTTTTACATTGTAATTCTGCTAATATCGAATGAAACAACGGTATTTAGCACACGAGCAAAACAGCTTCACCATGCCACAGAAATGTTTATGAAAACATTAGCTAAGTTACATACGGAATTGAGCAAGATATTCGAAGTTTTAAAGTCGCGATATATGACTTGTGTTTTGGCATTGTGAAGGAAAGCGAGTCCTTTGGCAGCACCGAGCGCAATCTTCATCCGGATGCACCAAGAAAGTGGTGGAACATGTGACCCCTCTGTTTTCAAGATTAAATTAGGTTACAGTAGATGGAGACATATGCTTTCACAGCATTCTATGAATCAAATGAATGTTTCAGACTTTCAGAAATGTAGGAAACTCACTCCTAAATAAATGATTCTCCATGCTACCCCGAACCATGAACTCGTATACCAGAAGCCGGTGCTCGTCCTCTAAGTAGTAACCAATCAACTTCACAAGATTAGGGTGATGCAGTTGTCCAAGATAGTTGATTTCAGCCTGTAAACCAAAATACAAAAGCAATCAAATCATACCATCCTAAGAGAATCGTCCAAAATGCATTTATCATATCATAATTTCACCAAACTTAAGATTATTATAATCGTATTAGATCAGTTTCTTGTCTGAATGCACTAACCAGCCATTCTTTGTGACCCTGAAATCCTTCTTGGTTGAGCCTTTTAACAGCAATGATTATGCCAGTACCAGGCTTGGTAGGTTTGAGTGATTGTTCATCGATCCATCCTTTGAAGACGGAACCGAACCCGCCTTCTCCTAGGACACTGTCTGGTCTGAAGTTTCTGGTGGCCGTCCTGAGCTCACTGAAAGTGAAGGTCTTTAAATTTAAAGACTGCAAAATCTCAACTTCACTCCGGGGAGTTTGTGGAATAGAAGCTGAAAACTCCTTGCTGCTTGAACAACTTATATTGTTTCCATTTCTGCTGGCACTACTCGAAATACCTGCAGGTACACAATAGTTAATTTCACATAAAGTTCCATGATAGAGTTTGAGCTTGCAAGTGATTATCAGATTTTGATTAGAAAACAAAATGACACACTCAAAACACAAATGGAAATCAAGTTCTTTACATTGATTTTTAGAAAACCAAAGGCATGCAAGTTCATCTTAAACCAACAAAACATTATCAAACTAACATGTGCTAGGACTGACAGACTTGATGCGATGGCTCAAGCAAGCTCCCATCAAACCAGAACAAGCCCAGATCTTTATTTCTCTCAAAATTTCCCCCTTCCCCCTTTGTTTTCTCTTACAAAGGCCAAATCTTCCCAAAAAGAAACACAACCACCAGAAAAAAGAAAAGAAATCGATAAAGATTATCCCTTTTTGGTTCAGTTTTTCAAAGATGGGTTTGGCATGGGATGATGAGGAGGAGGAAAGATCATCATCAAATCCAACAAGTAAAAGACTAAAAGGCCAAAAGAGGGTTACTTGCTATTGGGTTTTCCTTCCCACCTTCCTTCCTACCTTTATGAGTAGCCTTTTTGGACCTCAGCCAACGAAATACTGTAGACCCTTGACTTGTTCTTTTGCTTCATTTTGTCTGTTTTCCCTCAAGAAATCACCATGTGCCCAAGACAATATTATTATTATCATTATTATTATTATTATTTCTTTTTACATTTTCCACCAATCCATAAAAAGCCAAAAACAGTTAAGAAAACAACTTGAAACTTGCATGAAAAATAAAATAAAAATCAAGGGTTTTGGAGAGAGAGGTTTAATATAGTAATCAAACTTGGTTTTGTGGTATTCATGCTCTTGACTCTCAGTGATTTAGTCCGGCTCTGCACCGTTGGATTTGACGTTAAAAAATTGATACTGTGCCAATGTGATCAATTCCATGTTCTTTCTTGCATATGCGCCATGGGAGGATCATCCACAGTTGGCTTGTTTGTCATCATTGTTTATTAGTCAATTATTTTTGCCGTTCTCTCATATGTTAAGGCTAGAGACAATTATTCAGTCATCATGAAGCTTATTTTTCTGGATAAACACGTCATTTGTAGTTAAAAAAATATTCCCTGATAAAGATATTTTAAATAAAAAAAAGGGCAGATGCCTGTATGTATCTGGCCATAAATGAATAACATCACTTTCTCAAAAAAAAAAAAAAAAAAAATTAGTTGACCCTTATTCTCATATGTAATGGGATAAGGAGAGGTAGGATAGTAGACTGCCCCAACGCCAGATTAAGAGCAGCTTCCGTGGGAGATCTCCAAATTATGAATTGTCCAAACACCTCCATATTTTAAATCCTCATACTTTTTTTTATTGTCTTTCCGATCTAAAAGCTTCAACTTAATTAATTCAGATTAATCTGTATTGCACAGCTGACTTTAATAGATGAGTCTCCCAGCATGGATTTTCTGCATAAGCAATGACTCGAACTTGAGACCTTAATTAAGCGATATTAAATTGATTACCACTTGAACTAACCCCTGTTGATTTTTTTAATATATTTTTTTATTTTGATGGACTGCTATTTTCTTCCGATGGTATCAATCTCAAGTTAATGTTGAGTTTTTCAATCAACTCTAGAGCAAACTTTTAGTTTTCCCTCTCTATCTTAGGTATATCTCTTAAGCTATGAGTTAATATTTATTAGGAATAAAATTATCCCCTCTGTATAGGTAAGAATTATTAAAAAAAATTAATGATGAGCCTTTTAGTATCTATTTAAAGATAACACCCAATCATTGGATAAAGAATATTAGTACCTCTAGTATATGTAACCTGAAACTTCAAAAGATAATATCAAATTTTTAACCATTTAAGTTGTCGGTTTGTGAAAAATACACTAAATAGCTTAAGTAGGCACCCATTTTTTTTCAGCCCAAGTTAAAAAAAACCCTAACAAAAAAAAAAAAGAATATGTAAAAAAATAGTTTAAAAGAAATAGAAATAGAAAAGAAGAAATAAAAGAAAAGATTTTACCTTTTTAGCGTTCAACAATTTCTGGCGATCAGAGAGTTAAATTAAAGATCTAAATGATAAATGAGAAGCTTGAGGCAAAAGGAACCAGATTATTCAACGATGAACGATGGAGTTCATCATAAAGTAGACAAATGATTCTAACTTAGATCTTCATGTATCGTAGCATCTTTTGGTTAGGTCAACTCCAAAATTAGACTCAAAAGATTAAAAAAGCGCGAATTAAGATTTCTTGGTGAATTTTCATTGTCGGCAATGGTGACCACAAATGGCAATCAAAGTAGGTTAGTAAGTGAGGAATTGAGAGAAAAAGGAAATAAAAGGAAAAAGGAAAAAAGAAAGAGAAAAAAATGAGAAAATTGACTATTTAAACCGTAGAACTTTGTTTTTTAAAAATGTAAAACCTCAAAAGTCGAATTGTCTGTCCAGCTCAGTTGGTATAGCGTAAGGTTCTTAATCTTGTGGTCGTTGGATCAAGTCTCACGGTGGGCAATTCATAATTCGGAGGTCTCCCACGGAAACTGCTCTCAACATAGCATTGGGGGCAGTTTACTATCATACCTCCCCCTTGCCCTATTACATATGGGAATAAGGGTTAACTAATTTTTAAAACCTCGAAAATCAAATTGAAATTTTTCTTATGATCGATAATTTTGGGGGTTTATTTGAATATTTTAAGTCTTTGAGTGTGAGTTCATTGAGAAGAATTTTTTTCAGGTTAAATTATGATTTGATTTGGTTTTCAAGTGAGGAATAAGATATAAAGTTTGAAAGTTTAGTAGTGTTTCAAGTTTAGTTTCCTAAGTGACAACGATTTTGAAATGGAAGGATTTGTTGCATGAATATGCCCATGAATCTAATTGGAAGAAATCGGTGGCAAGAATGTTAGGTGTTATGTTCTTATAATTTAGTCCTAAAAGGTTATTTTCTTAAGGCTTAACGTAAAAATTAGTGTCCAAATTACACTCAAATTTAACTTTTGGTGTTTAAAGAATTTTCGTTAAAAATAAATGTCTAATTTTTTCTCTGTTAAAATTTTAGATGTCTACCATTAAAAAAGTGTTAAATGGCACGTGTCATATTCATATTTTTTTTTAAAAAATGTTTTTTTGGAATATTTTATTTTAAAAAATAAGAAAAAATGTGACCAATATCACTTAACGATTTTTTAAGGGTAATCACCTAAAAATATAACGGAGAAAACATTAAGTACCTATAGTTAACGAAAAATCTTTAAACACTCAAAGTTAACTTTAGATTGGACACTTAATTTTGCATTAAGCCTTTTCTCAATAATGGAAATTAGGGAATTTGGATTAATAGCATAACATTTTTGTCCTAATTCGTACGTTTTAATTGTTCATTAAACCATTTAATCCTTTTTTTATTCCAATTAAGTCCTCACTCTCATGACTAATAAGATTTTGGTCTTTTTAATTTCCTTTTATTCAATTTAGCCTTTTCTTTTTGTTCAATTTTATTAACATTTTTAATTCTTTTACCCATTTATTTTATTTATTTTTATGTGATGTTGTTTATTATTATTAGTGTCATTAAACTTTTTGTTTTATTTTTAATAATGAGATAATATTTGATTCTTTCGAATGTATCAATTTTAGGTGTCGTATGAGTGCTCTAATCTTTCTGATGCGTAACCGAATTCCAAACCCAATCTTGATCCATGCGTTAGACACATACCATGTTTGAAGGTATTTGATCATATCTAACCTAAAACAAATAATGCTAACTCCATTTTTTGACAAGATTTTGAAGACTCAAGTTCTTTACGAAGTTGTCAAAATGATTTCTAAAACATGAGGACTCCACTAAGAGCACTTAGAGAATTAGATTACAATTGAAGGAAAATGTTATCTCCAAAAATGTTTTGATCAATAGATTGACTCAAAAAGTGAAAGGTTTCCGTAACTAAGATTACAGAGGTTGTTTTATAGTGGCTAGTTTTTATATCATGGCATTTTGAGCATGTTCACACTTCACACATAACATTAAACTTTTTACTTGAGTTTTGTCCAGATTAAGTGGGAACAAAATGTTATTTTTTATATGAATCAATTTACCTTAGTGGTTAAAGGAATCGTTGTTGTTCCTAGAGGTCACGGATTCGAGCATCATTGGTTGTAGCAGGATAATTGAGCGTTCATTGTCAAATGGTTGAGAGTATTTCGAACATATACTACTTTATAATCACCTCATCTTAATCCAAAAAAAATGATATTCCTTTGTGAGGTTAACCTTTGACCATGATAATAATTTTCTTCTGGATGCATATGTAATGTCTTCGTAATGTCAACTTTCATACATGTATAAGGAAAAGTATTCTCTTGAATCAACTTTTATATATACGAGCCTATAATTTATGAGGATTGAAGGTTTATTAGCATAAATAAGAAACAATAAAGGGTCGCTTAGTTCAAAAAATGTAAGGTTACTGGAATATTATATTACTTAACATGTTACTGGAAATATTGTATTACCTTATTTAGTTTGTTTTGCAGGAATGTAAACTTGTGCTCTTTGATTAAACGAATATAAGACAAGAAAATGTATGTTTTACCATATTGTCCTTTAGATATATTTTCTTTTTCAACAAGTTAAATTATTAATATTAAAGTCAAAATATTTACATGGAAGTTCATAGAAAATATAATTTTATATTCTTTAATTTATATATATATATTCAATGAAATTTGTAAAAAAATAACTTAATATATATTTTTATTTCTTTAAAAATATAAAAACATACTTACACCGATATAATTGTAACACCCTACACCAGTACAACACACAGTCGACTAATGAGAGCGCTACACGGAACCACTAGAGTGGCTAACCCAAATCTTTATTTATCATACTCAAAGAAAACATTCATTATTAATTACTTGTGATAAAATAGACAATAATTTTCATACAAAACAATTTACAATCGGGAGCTACCAAAATAAAGTTCAAAATGTACATACCATAATTTAAAATCAGTTACAACTCGATATACAAAATAAGGGTTACAAATATACATACCATCTAAGAAGAAATCGAGACATACTTTACTCTGAAAATCTGAGTCTGGATCTACTCGGCACAAAGTTCTTCAAATACTCCACCTAAGAATCTGCGTAAGGAAACATATTCCAAACGTGGAGCTAACTAGCTCAGTGCCACACTAACAACTAAAACATACTAACAGGGGTTCATTTCTAAACATGCTCAAACAAAAGATAAAAAGGTATAATGAATGTATTTAATCTAAATCATTAGTGAGCATGCTTGTGATACTTACTCTCTACGTTATGACAGACATCATAGTGCGGCTGAGGGATCTCTGCATCTCGGAGCTCACACATCCCTCTAGTCTACAGAGGATGTGGCCAATTGAATCTTTGCATCAGACACCACACCCCTGACTAGCCCAGCCCTTACGAGTTTAAAGTGCCTTGCACACTCCCTAAGGATATCCAGACTGATTCTATACTTCGACACCCTGAACTAAAGGAACTCTAGTATCCAATTCGTTTCTCGAGCATCAACAAGGCTAGTCTTAATTATCCCTACTTTATCTCGTTTATATGTTCGATTAAGCGTTATTATTGTTTCCACTTGCAGTCTTATTTGAGAGTAATTATAGAGTTCTTGGGAACATCGTTTATCTATTATAAACCTTAAAAATCCTTAACTTAAAATGTACGGTGGTACCGATACTGGCCTTTCAATATCGGTATTAAACTCTTAGTATTGATACTTTGCCTTACATATCGATACTATTGAAACATTTTGATGTTTCGATATAACAAAATAAGTTAAAAGAATTTTAAGATTTTACAAATGATTTTCAAAGTATATTCGATACTATTATTCGAATATCAAAATATTACTCCAAGTCTTTCAAAGTTTAAATTCAATCCTTACTAAAGTGTAAAATTGTGTTTTATACTTAAAATATTTTTGAAACAATTTTCACAAAGTATTTTGAACAAAAGACGAGCCAAAAATCAAATTTGTGAAGGGATGCACCGATGCACTCATTGATGCACCGATGCACTCATTGATGTATCGATGCACACCCCATTTCGAATACATTTTATGCATCGATGCACTCAGAATTTTATGGAAACATCGAATGCATTTCATGCATCGATGCACAGACTACGCATCGATGCACTCCAGGCTTGTTTGAAACATCGAATGCATTTTATTCATCGATGCACCCTTAGTGCACCGATGCACTAAGTTTTTCAACGGTCGAAATATTTTAATTTTACACTTGATGCATCGATACACATTAACTATGCATCGATGCACATTAACTATGCATCGATGCACACACACTCCCAATTGATTTTATTAATTGTTTTCACACACTAACAGCTCTATTAACTCCACTAATGATCCCCACCGTTCAAAAATGATCCAAGGAGTATTTAAACAATCTTAGAAGCCATTGATCAATAACAATAAACTAGAATCAAGAGAGAATCAAAGAGAAAGAATCAAATCTCAAGTTTGAGCATTTTAAGCCTATTTCATTCAATATTCATCTTTGCTTTCAAGAACACTTATTGTACTCAATTGTATTATTCTTGAGTGTTCTTTCTTTGTTCTAGAATTGTGCAAACATATTTCCTTGTGAGGATTTTCTTGTAAGTTTGCAAAATTTGTATTGTTCTCTTTGGGAGAGAGTGTTCTCAAGAATTTGGGGTATAATTCTTGAGGGATTTGTAAGGTTACTCTTTGTCCTCAAAAGAAAGACAAATTAGTGAATTTGTGGAAAATCCTTAGTGTGGATAGCTAAGGTAGTGGACGTAGACTTTGGTTGAGAAAGTCGAACCACTCTAAATCGCTGTGCAAATATTTTCAATTTTCTGCGAAAGCTTCCACCGAAATTTTTATTGCCAATTCACCCCCTCTTGGCCAATTCCATCGATCGATTAACTCAACAATTGGTATCAGAGCTTGACTCATTTGAAGGTTTAATCGCCTCTTGAGTAGATCCGGGAAGAGTTACATCGATATTCAAGTCATCAATTGTCAGTGCTTCAAACTCTGACTTCGTTCTCGATTCAATGCCCGACAACAAGCCTCCTTTCTTCAATGGAGCTAACTATGCTTATTGGAAGAATAGAATGATGTACTTTTTTCAAGCAAGTGACATGGGAGCATGGAATGTCATAGAAGATGGATACATCAAACCTTCCACTCACCCAAGATTATGGAGTGAAGGAGATACAAGAATGTTCCAGCTCAACTCCAAAGCCATCCATATCATATTTTGCGCACTTGGACCGGATGAATACGGAAGAGTTTCATAGTGTACAACCACTAAGGAGATATGAGATAAACTATAAGTCACTCATGAAGGCACGGACGAGGTAAAAAAAAATCTAAAATTAGTCTTCTACCTCATAGCTATGAAAATTTCAGGATGAAACCGAATGAAGATATCAAAGCTATGACGGATAGATTTTCAATGATTGTCAATGGTCTCAAATCATATGGAGAGATCATTCCGAATGAAAAAATCGTGAGGAAATTAGTTTACTCACTTCTAAAATCATGGCAATCATCGAGGCTAAGAACTTGAAGTCCTTAACCCTAGAAGAACTAATAGGTTCCCTTCTCACTCATGAAATGATGCTTGAAGATGGGGTAGACCTCGATAATATTGACAAGACACCAAAGGAAAAAGGAGAAGAAAAAGAATGTTGGAGTTGCTCTCAAATCTACAAGAGATGAAAGTGATTCAGATAAAGATGATGAAGAAATGATATTATTTGCCAAACGGTTCAAAAAATTGATGAGGCCCAACCGAGGAAGAAAATTCAAAAGGAATGAAGGCTTCAAAAATGAACCGAAGGAGAAAGACCCCATTATTTGCTATGAATGCAAAAAGTCAGGGCATGTCAAATATGATTGCCCTTAATTGAAGAAAAATTGTTAATCCAAGAAGAAGCATAAGGCTCATGTGGCTACATGGAGCGATGAGGAAGGTTCCGATAAAGAGGAACAAGAAGTTGCAAACTTGTGCTTGATGGCCATCAGGGATAACTCTAAGGTAACCTCTAACTCATTTGATTCAAATGATTTATCTTATGATGAGTTATTAGAGGATTATAATGGTTTGGCTTCGGATTATAAGACTTTATTTTCAAAATACAAAAATGATATTTCAAAATTGAAAAATGAAAATAGTCTTATGTCCAAGACTAACAATGAGCTTGAAAGTAATACTAAAGAATTGCAAATCAAACTTGATGATTTTGAAAAAGAAAAATACTTATTTGCATAACTTACTTTCAAAAGTTCATGATGATCATCAAAAAGAAATTGATGATCTTAAAAATTCTTTTAATAAAGTTGGTACAAAACGTTTTGAAAAATGAGAAAATTCAAAATCCAACTTTTTTATAAAAAGTTTTAAAAACTACAATCATAGAAGTCCTCAACGAACCTTAAATGGTAAAATTGTTAAGAGTATATAGGTTCTTAAAGAACTCATTACTACTAAAGATAAGAATATCCTACATCAATGGATACCCAGAGGACTAGGATTTTAAGTACTAATGAATATGGACCCAAAAGAATTTAGGTACCAAAAATTAGAAATTAATCCATGTTAGTAGGGAAAGGAGCATTGCTACACGGCACGGGAAACAAATTCAAACTCATGGTACCTTGATAGTGGATGCTCAAGACACATGACCGGAGACAAGAGCATGTTCATAGAGCTTAACGCCAAAAATGGAGGAGTGGTGACCTTTGGTGATAACTCAGAAGGTTACATTGAATGTATAGGTACTATAGGTAATACCTCTTCCATACAAATTAAAAAATGTGTTATATGTGAATGGATTAACGTATAATCTATTGAGTATTAGTCAATTATTCGATAAGGGATTCAATGTCATATTTGAAATTAATGGTTGTAAAGTAATCGACATTGCATCTAATCGGATTATGCTTATTGGTCATAGAATATAAAACATTTACATGGTGCATTTAGATTCCATTGATATGACAAATTTATGCTTAGTTGCTAAGGATGAACATGATAGTTGGTTATGGCATAGGAGACTAGGACATACTAGTATGAGTGTTTTGCAATGACTAATTCTAGGAGACTTAGTAAGAGGGTTGCCAAAGCTAAAATTTGATAAAGATAAAATATGTGATGCTTGTGCTAAAGGAAAACAAATTAGAGCTTCCTTTAAGTCCATTAATGATGTATCAACTAGTAGAGTATTACAATTGATCCATATAGATCTTTTTGAGCCAACTAGAATTACTAGTTTGGGTGGAAAACAATATGCATTTGTCTTGGTAGATGACTATTCTAGATATACTTGGGTTCTATTCTTAAGTACTAAAGATGAAGCATTAGAAAATTTCATCACGTTTTCAAAAGTAATCCAAAATGAAAAAGGTTACTCCATCACTAGTGTTAAGAGTGATCATGACACTGAATTTGAAAAATCTTAGATTTACCGATTTTTGTAATTCTAATGGTTTTAGTCACAATTTTTCAGCACCTAGAACCCCTCAACAAAACGGAGTTGTTGAGAGGAAAAATCGAACTTTAGAAGAAATGGCTAGAACTATGCTTTGTGAAAATAATTTGCCAAAATATTTTTGGGCGGAAACCACAAATACCGCTTGTTATATTATAAATCGAGTAATGATTAGGCCAATTTTAAATAAAACTCCATATGAAATTTTTAAAAATAAAAAGCCTAACATTAGTTATTTTCATCCTTTTGGATGAAAATGTTTTGTTTTAAACAACGGTAAAGATAATTTTGGCAAATTTGATGCTAAAAGTGATGAAGGAATTTTTCTGGGTTATTCTTTAAATTCTAAGGCTTATCGGGTATTTAATAAAAGAACTTTAGTAATATATGAGTCTATACATGTTGTTTTCGATGGTAATCCCCTTTCGAGGAAGGATTCTTGTGTAAATGATGATGTAGGTATTGTAAATTCAAATGATGTTAGACATGACGTTGGAGAACCATCATCAAATGAAGAAATGAAAGATGAGGAAACTCACAATCCCCTCGAGAATCCAACCATTGAAGAAAGGGAAGTATATTTCCCAAGAGAGTACAACTATGTCAAGGATGGTGAAATTATAGGTGATCCATCCAAAGGGGTAACAACTCGATCTTCTCTTAGAAATATATGTAATTATGTTGCATTTATTTCATGCATAGAGCCTAAGAATATTAAAGAAGCATTAAATGATGAAAATTGGATAATGGTTATGCAAGAAAAATTAAATCAATTTGAGAGAAGTAGAGTATGGACATTAGTTGAAATGCCTAGTAATAAATCTACTGTAGGCACTAGATGGGTATTTAGGAATAAGCTTGATGAAAGTGGTAACATAGTGAGGAACAAGGCTAGACTTGTTGCTCAAGGGTATACTCAAGAAGAAGACATAGACTATGATGAAACATACACTCCCGTAGCTAGGATGGAAGCAATTAGAATGTTAATAGCATTTGCATGTTTCAATGAATTCAAACTATATCAATGGATGTTAAAAGTGCATTTTAAATGGTTTTATAAAAGAAGAAGTGTATGTGGAACAACCTTCTGGTTTTGAAGATTCAAAATTTCCAGATCATGTTTTTAAATTGACAAAAGCACTTTATGGTTTAAAACAAGCTCCCAGAGCTTGGTATGAAAGACTGTCAAGCTTTTTAATTGAAAAAGGTTTTTCAAAAGGGAAGGTTGACACTACATTGTTTTTAAAGCATAAAGGTAAAGATTTATTAGTAGTTCAAATTTATGTTGATGATATAATATTTGGCTCTACTAATGATGCTTTTTGCC